GGTAAATTAAAGGGTGTTAATTTTGTTCTTGGAGAGAAACAAAAAACAATCAACAAACTTAAGTCATGCAGCTGAGTATTGAAATGCATCAGAAATAACCACATTAAGTCATAAGTCTCTTTTTGAAATGCATTCGAGAACACCATATTGACCCAAATCAATGACCGGAGATACGTATAATGGAAAATTTCCGAAAAACAAGACAATCAACAAAAAGGCAATTCTATCTACTGGATGTGCAAAGTTCAAGAAAGCAAAAGCTGAATGTTACGCATGCTCTTGATGTTAGATATAGAGAAAAGATAATCAGAATCAACCACAAAAGTTTAACTAATATTCCACGATTGCTAAAGTTCAAGTTCGCAATAAAAATGGTCAAGTGGCGGTTGCAGGCGCACATTTTTCGACCTATCAGTAAGACCAAATCTCAATGCATACAAAACCCACATAATTCAATCTTAAAGCAAATTTTCATTTTATCAGAGCTTTGTATAGCAAAAACACACACAAACTTCCAAAAAAGAAATTTTTATTATAGACAAGCATGCTTTATTTGAGACGGAAGACGTTTAAGTTAGGGACGTTGTATTATGTCGCAGCAAATGAGCAAAAAATTAAGACAAATACAGAGACAAGCTTCTGCATTTATGCATCATTGGATAAATAACAATTTTTTTTCACATAGAGAAGTACCTTCCCCATAAGGATCAATTCTCTAAACATGGAATACATATTCTTTTGTGACAAATAGCAGACCGTGTTGCAAGCCCAAGGGAGCCTCAGGTCAATCAACAAAATTATTGCCTCCAGTAAGACATTTGCGGATTGATTCGATTTTTCAGGTGACAATAACTGATCTTTCAACTGGTTCCTGCGAAAACAAAATGGATAAGGTTCATAACCAATAAAGGATTGGCTAACCATCGCACATGGGCCAGCCTTATCATTGAAGGATCATATAAGAAATGTTTATCTTTTATTATATCCATGGATTGTCTCTTTTTTTGTCAATATCTAGAAAAGGAAGTGGTTACCTGAGATTGATTTCAATAATCAATCACCATACAATGTGGATTGCGTAATTTAAACTTTGACTTGAATAGAACTTTAAATATGTGGATCAAAATTTTAAGAGGGTGGAAATATGAAATGTATAATGGACAACCAAATGACTTCCATCCCCCAGGAAACAAACCTATTTTCGTAGATTGCACTAATGCATGCATAAGCAAGACACTTAACCCGGTACTCCACTAAACCATGATTTGATAAGTAATCCGTGCCCGCAAAGAGGCTCACTAAGTCCCCATCTGTAACAGTAGGCAAATGAAAAACAAGATCAAGATATTATTCGCAAAATATGAAGTCAATACTTGAAAGCAAACATAAACAGAAGCCACCAATACAGATAACAATCCACCAACAGTAACAAATTCAGCCTAGAAGTAAACATCTTTTACCAAATCATGAGCTCACGTGAGCTTTTCGAAAATAAAGCAGATCACATACAAGGAGCAAGTATCTCAGTAGTAAAACTGTAAAAGATTTTTCAAATGAAAGATACAGAAAGGAAACACAAGGATGCAAACGACACCTGCCAGAATAGCAGCAACCAGGACACAGCTAACAATAATCAAGCCACAATAATGTTCATAATAACTTTGTGTCCATATCTGCAACATAAACATAGGACATGTAAAGTGACCGAGTAACTCACCATTATCATGAGCAAATTCAAGAAGCAATCGGCATGTCTCCACGAGGGCAGAAAAATCAGCCACGTATCTTGGGTTAAAGAAGAAAATAAGCTGGCTGAGAAAATTTGAAGTTGGGCTAAAGCACTGCCTGAATATGGACATGATAAGATGCAGAATGAGACATAGAATGAAGTCCATCAGCATAGCAAGACGTATATATTTAGCTGACACAACAAATAATAACAAAAGAGACTACGAAAGTCAAAGATACAACTGCATAGACGCCTACAGTGCTGAAAAACTTAATTCAAGAACAAAAGATTCAATTGTTAACCTATTGAGATGTTGACAATACTGCCCATAGGTCAAGAAAAACTTTTCACGGGCTTTGCAGCGTTCAACCTCCACCTCCCTTCTCCCTCTGAAGCATTTCTGTGAGTAGCATTTAGTTAAGCTCTATAATTGGATAAGTAAATATTGATCTATCAGCAGCTCATTGCACATATAAAAAAGAAACACTCATGAAAGAAGGAAGAGAGAAAGAAGCATAAGTAATATAAGATTAATACAAAACAAAAAACGGGAAAACTTCAATGCATCTCTAAAGTCAAAACTATCATCAAATTTACTATATGATTAAGTTTAGGTAGTACTCCACGCTCACCAAATTACTATATCAATGCAAATAAGTAAATAATCAAACATAAAATAAAAAAATATATAATAACACTACGGACATTTTCATTGTTATTTTCTTGGTTGTTTCTTACTGCATTAAAATTTAAAACCAAGACCCATTCAGACTACTAAAAGAGAACGAATAAAAAGAAAAATTTATCCCATTTTTCCTTTTCAAATTCTGAATAGCTCAAGCTGAAGCCAGGACCCGTGCTGATATACTAAGATTCCAACCCGAGGTAACTCCTTTTTATATGAATTACGAAGTTATACTTTCTATGATTTAATCAGACGAGTAATTATACCAGCACATTTTAAAAAAAAATCAAATGTTTTTCAGACATGCAGGTTTGCATTTTGTTATAAGATATCCCATGAGTGGCCGTTCAATATTATAGTTCTACATCAAAGAAGTATCTGNCTTAGTAAACAACCTAATGGAAACCTTATGTTCTCTTTTCTCTGAAGTTGAACAAAATTAACAACATAGGAAAAGATAGGACACAGAATATCTGAGCTTCCAGCAATGTTATTAATGGCGGATGGCGGTAAGCCAAAATCCCGCCATGGCGGCCTATGCACCACCATCCTTCACAAATTGAGCATGGCGGTTTGTCAAAAATCCGCAGCGCCATACCACCATTTGATAACATTGGCTTCCAGATCTCAAAACCAAGATCACTGCTGTGAACAGTGACTCCAGAGATTGTTCATTTCTTATTTATAAATATGGAAAAGTATAAATCCCTTTTGCTTCTCAACCTTATTGAAAATCTAAATTGCGCATGCTTCCATAAGACTGAGAACATAGAAACGACATAGAAACAACTCAAATAGTAGTATAACCAAATCCAAATAAATATCCAATTTCTCAACAATGAGCAATACATACTAGATGCTTCGATAGAGGTTCCAACTTTCAATCAAAATAATCAACAAAACGACAAACTATTGGTGATATAATAACTCTTCTATTCCATGTTTTTTTAGGCCTAAGCGCAAAACAATGATGCTAGACATCACTCATACCATTTATTCACGTTTATTATTTTTTCGGCCTTCCAACACCTCTCATTCTCATTCTAAATGTGTATCTCATCCTGGTTTAAGCTCAACAATGGCCTCGATTCTTCATTTCAAAAACCTTCTATCTTCTTTTTACTTTCCTTTAATTTCATGAAGAAAAAAATGTTGATGTCCCATATTGCGCCTACGATATGGACAAACAATTCAAAAGGCGGGAGTGTTATTTGATGTTTATTTATATTTGCATGTGGGTGTTCTGGTGTTTTCTGTGTTTTTCTCCATATATACTAGTTTCAAGTCAGTAGAATTAACAGCCAGTTGTTTGAACTAATGCTAATCCCTTAGTTGTTTTTAATACAAGATAACTTGTCTGAAGTACTTGATGATTGTGGAGTACAACTGGGCCATTAGAACTACTGGCTAGACGTTTTGGATTACAAATCCAGACGACTGTCAAATAGTTCAAATGACTGTGCTAGCAGTTCAAAACTCCAAATAACTAAGTTAGGACTCTGAATGAAATGACTCATTTGTCGATGCCATCCATGAAAATTTCCCTAGAGCAATGATGAAGGCCAGACAATAAAATGATTTTAACATTTTTAAGAACTAATTTACCACTAACCACTAATTAAGTTTGATAATCAACAAAGAGATCCAAACGAACTTGCTCATAGCCCACCCAAACCGTAAGCTACTACAAATTACAAAAACAAAAGCAATCAAACTAACATCCCACAGGCCACAGTCCACTCCACCCTTATTCTTTTACTTCAGTAGATTCATTAGTCCAAATGTTACATCCAACATAATAATAATAATAATAAGAATAAAAGTCCGACACAATTCAGCTAACACTCAATCTTCATCCATGAACACAAGAACAATCACACCAACTTAAGAAAAGTAAAAAAGATTCATATTCCAAAAAAGAGAAAAACCTGAATCTTGAGGGCCGCAGAATTTTGCTTGCGCATCCATAGACGCCGGTTTCTTTCCAATCGCGTCTGCTCCAGAAGCTTCTGCCTGTCTCTCTCTTTGGAACTCCGGCCACCTAAATCCACCCGTTTACGTGAGGACGGATCGCCAGAAAAGAACATTCTCCGTTACCGTCGGTTTTCGCCGTTCAAAACCCTAAAACCAGGCTCCGGAGACCGGAATCCAGGTGGACGAAATTTGGTGAAGTTGTCTCCCCAAGGGAGAAAGGAAACGCATAGAAGCAGAATTTATTCCACACTCGGAATAACAATTACGTGTGTGTCTTTGCATTATGTAACGACATTTTCATTTGCAGGCCCGACATAATGGTAAGTTTGATAATATGTTATGTTGGGCTTCTTAATCTTAATGGGTCACTTATGTGGCTAGCAGATATTTATAAGATCTAACAAAACGACTTAGGGCTAGTTTGTTAAGGGAGACAGGACAAGATTAGCCCATTTATCTGGCCCAAAAATAGCGTTTGCTTACCATGATAGCGGCCCGGGGAAAATGACGAGGCCCGCTCTGCACAGTGGAAAAATCCTGCTTTGGGCTGATTAATTGGTCTGGCCTTGGGGGGTGCGACAAAGACAAGTCCCAACAGTTGCAGCAATGACAATGTCTCTTTTGCCCCCAACCAAGCTTTTTTCAGACAGAACTACCCCCCCTCAACAGATAAAATACAACATGCCACTAACATGTAATTAAAGGCAACAGTTGACAAAATTTGACCTTCCATTGCAGCAGTTCAGAGCAGAGTTTCGTTCACAGGTAGAGCCTTGTGGGATCTAGATCTGCTATATAAATCGCGAGTTCGTGTGGAGTTGGTTTCCTCATTATCTGAAGTCGATTGTTACACTAGACCTCCGTCTATTTTTTGTGTTTTTTTTCCACCGTGATTTAGGTTATTTAATTGGGTTTTTTTTATTATTTTGTTATTTATTTTCCGTAATAATATTTTCGATTTCTGCTTAGGTAGTCAAGTGTAGAGCACGAGGTCGAGAAGAGTGAGGTTGCCTTCCACATCCGAGCCCTTTGTTGCCTGAGCACGGTATGTTTTCTGTTTAATTCTTTTTTTTTTNTGCATTCGGTCGATTATGCTATCTCTTGGAGCATGTTGGTAAACTAGAGAGTAGTCGAAATGTGCTGATAAGTGAGCAAGTGACCATATTCTTGAGTGTGTTAAGCTATCATAAAAAAAACGCAGTTGTTAAACATGATATTAAGCAGTCCGGTCAAACTATTAGCAAAATTTTTCATGTAGTCCTTAGAGTTGTGCTACGCTTACACCCGCTTATCGTCGTAAAACCTAACCCTGTTTAGGATTCGAACAATGATTGGAGATGGAAATGGTTTAAGGTTAGTATTTAATAAATAATAAACAAATGAAATAAATTGATAACGCATGTAACGTTTTTTGATTGTTGTCCATTTTTTTTTTAATTATGTCATCCAGGGATGCTTGGGAGCATTAGATGGAACATATGTTCCGGTACGCGTTCCTAGTAATTTGCACCCAAAGTACCGAAATAGGAAGGGGAGTGTCTCTGTAAACGTCTTAGGCGTATGTGATGTAGACATGAACTTTTCTTACATCTTGGTCGGTTGGGAGGGGTCTGCCGCAGACAGTAGAGTTTTAAGGGACGCAGTACGACGAGATGGTGGGTTACGTGTTCCAACGGGTGAGAGTCTTTCTTACAGTGGATATGAAGTTTAATATTTTGGAGTAGGATTCGTAGACAATAAAATATAATTTTGCATTGGAAAGTTTATTGCATAGTAATTTTGGTTTCTTGGCTTGACAGGTAATTACTATCTTTGCGACGGTGGGTACACAAATGGTCCGGGATTTCTGACACCATTTAGAGGTGTGCGGTATCATTTGAACGAGTTTGGTGAAGGCCCTCGAGCACCTAGAAACCATAAGGAATTATTTAACCTTAGACACGCTAGAGCAAGAAACGTGATTGAACGGGCCTTCGGAGTGTTGAAGATGAGATGGGGCGTCCTTAGAAGTAAAACCTTTTTGAAACAGATAAATGGGAACAAATAAAATACACTATACACGGCCATTTGAAATATATTATATTAAAAATATATTGTAAGTAAAAGAAGAGTAAAGAATCCATGCAAATGATGTATAAGGGCCAAAAATGTAATTGTGCTTTATATCATTGTTTGTATCTAGGATAACAAACACCTAGCCTTTATTTGAGTATAATCTAAACTAGCATTGATCAAGGATAACAAACACGAAATAGGTTTATATCTCTACACCCCAATCTTGTTTCTAAAGATTAGAATAATCTAATCCGGACTAAGCAAACAAACATGCTCTTAAAGAACTCATCTCCCGAATGATAACTGGCATACTCGCACGCAATTTTATGTGTCGAATTCTCATGCTTCGTCATTTGGATTATAATTTATTTTTAATTTTAAAATAATTAGGCTTTGAATGTACATATATATATTGAATATTTATAATCATTTTTAAGAGCATTAATTAAGTTTTAATATTGTTTCTTGTTCGAAACATGATTTATAATGCATAATTTTTTCTCCAATCTTTTTATTTTCTCCATCTTTCTTTTATAATTATATATTAGCTAATAAACTATTTATTCATTGTCAAATTTTCACATATCTATATATATCTAAAAAGGTTGATGTAAAAATCCTTTTTTAGAAACCTAAAAATAATTGAGTTGACTTTTGACTTTCTATTTATGTATTCTACTTTAAAATCGGAAGAAAAATCGTGAAAAGGCAGTGGATATTTCGTTAATTTAGCATGAAATTTGCGTTCATTAAATAAATGGATATTCTCCTTAATAATGGTGATATTTCCGTTAATTAAGCATGTGAAATTGATTGTCCGTTGCAAAAATCATGGGACTTACTATCTATCCAAATACAATCCATAACTATCTTATCACTTTTGGTTAATAAAAAATATGTGAAATTGATTGTCCGTTGCAAAAATCATGGGACTTACTATCTATCCAAATACAATCCATAATTATCTTATCACTTTTGGTTAATAAAAAATTGTATAAAAGGATATTCACTACCACCATTACAACTCATCATTCACGAGTTCAGAGAAAAAAAAATACAGAGAATAATTTTTCATCGCATATACAATGCTTCCAGGCTTTTCATCGCATGTACAATATAATGCTTCCAGGCTGGAGTACACTTGATTCCGTTAACAGAAGAAACAAACGTTTTTTTGCGTCTGAGAGCCCCCGCATTATTGAAACCCATCACGAACGGGAGAGCTGTAACGCATTCCATATACTGTTTCATGATGAACAGGTAATATTTACCTTTGTTATTTCAATTTTATATAATTTAGAAAATTATTTTAATTAATATTTATAAATTTGTATCGTAGGGTGCTTTCATTAAATGCATAATACGTTATCCGAATATGAGAGCAACAAACTTTATATAAACTGAGAGCAGTCTAATTTTTGTAAAATATGTAAACTTTAAACGTGTTTTTATATATAAAATTGTATATACTTTTAAACATGTTAGTTGGGCAAACTTTAAGGATATATATATGTGTGTGTATGCTAACTTTAAGTATATATATTTTTCTTATAAAATAGTCTAGACAGAATTGAGGTAATTTCACATTTTTCGATAATAATATAAAATATTTTAATACTTTCACATATGTTATATAATAGTCTACGTATTCTTAATGTCTTTTGGTTGTAACATTGTTAACACATATAATATTAGATACTTTTAAACATATTTAGATAATTTTTTTACTCATTCTTTAATATCTATGTGCATAAAAAGAGAATAAGATTTATAAAAGATTTTCCGGCAATATACTAAATGTTAGATAAAAAAATCTCATTTTATTTGTTATATAATATTTCGAGTTGCATTAATTTTGATTTGTATGTGTAAACTTGAGAAATTAAGCGTATGAAAAGGAGCGTACGAATTACTGTAAGGATTTAAAAAATAAAAAATAAATCTAATTTTTTAATATTTTCTAATAACTTCTAAACGAATTTATGTCATAATTCGTCATAATTTTCCCACATCATGTCAATATTAATTTTATATATACTAGGTAAAAGATAAATCATTATCTCAATATTTATTCTATATATTCTAAGTAAATCTTCTCATCTATCTCAACGGTCCGCAGGTAGTATTTCATACTTTTCTATTCATAATCAAATATATCAAAGCTTCACAAATTTTACTTCACAAATAAAGTGTTCAATAATTTATATGTTTTTCCCTTCTTTGCAATCCATTTATTTTTGTTACATATATATAAATTATATTATTTTTAATATTTCACACGTTAAACATTTCAGGAAAATATACCATCACGTGCATCGCACGGGCTACGCGCTAGTAATATATCAAATTAATCATGTGTTGTTGAGATTCGATTTGACGTCTGTATTATAAATAAATAATTATATTTAAATTTATAATATAAATTAAATTATATATTAATATTTATTGGAAAAAAATTATTAAATTAATTTAACTACAAATTAATTATATGATGTAAGTTAAAAAATTAGTATGTATACGAGGTCAGGCTTGTTCCCACTATATGGTTATATAAGATGTTAAGTCATATAAGATGTTAAGTCATATAAGTGATGTATGTCATTTTAAATATAAATAAAAAAATATTTTTAAGAAACTTAATCAATTTTTTTATTAATTTTAAGTTTAAACATAAATTTTTTAATAAACACCTGTGTAATACATTGGGTATTGTATTAGTATGTGATGAAAATGACTACGCCTTAATGATAAATAGATAAACATCATTTAATAGTAAAATGTATTCTCCTTGATTTCTTCGACTAAATAATAAAATACGATGAAAGTGATTGTGTTCCACGTAACTTGTATAACTTCAGTCCGAACTAGTACAAATTACTATATAATATATATATATATATATATATAGCTTTACAAACCGGCTTGTTTGCTGTCAAAATTTTTGGGAAATATATTTTGTTTTACCGCTTTCAAATATAAACTTTGAGAACAATTCGGTTAATGGAATCTCTATAGTGATGAAATTCAAATTGTAGACAATGTAATTGATGTAATCTTTTTACGAAGACATATTTTAGTTATTATTAGATTATAAATTGTATTTATTCCTTTATTTTGTAAAACACGCTTTACACTTCCTCATCACGTTTAGTTTTTGCAAACTTAGTATAAATAGGATTTTTAGGGTAATTTGGTGACCTCACTTTCCATTTACACTCTTTCTCTCATCTCTCAAGTTCTCTATGAAGAACACACTGTAATTCTCAATCTTTTCATTAATAAGAAATGTCTTGTTTGTTTTCTCTCAACTTACTGAATGATTAAACTAACATATAGCATATTTATTGAGAAATGCTACATTGTCAACCTAGTGTACAACTAGTTGACAACATAAGTAAAAACATCCATAAAAATTAAAATAAAAAAATA